GTATTATATACTTCTAAACTAATTAAGATTAGAATGGTTTAGTTATGCTAATACACTTTGTTGTAAACATTGTAACATAGGTGTTTTTACCTTTGGCAATAAAGACCTATTCTTATTCTTATTATTTTTCTTCTACTTATTATTATTTTCATTATTATTATTATTATTACTTTGCCTATTTGTTGTTGTTTGTACTCGCCTAGATCAAGACTCAAAAGGGATTCAAACAATAACAGTAAATACCACTGCAAATTAGAATTCACAAGATGACATTATATAAGGTTTGATTAAATATATATATACTTGGTATTTGATACTTCTAAACTAACTATGATTAGAATGGTTTAGTAATGCTTACACTTTGATGTAAACATTGTAACATAGGATATATGTTTTTACCTTATGCAATGAAAGACCTACTATTATTATTGTTATCATTATTATTATTGTTATCATTATTATTATTATTATCTTTGCCTATTTGGTATTGTTGTTCTTTGTACTCGCCTAAAACTTGATCCAAAGTCAATTGAAACGACGACACCATCGAGCGAATCACTGCTGTAAAGATGTAGAAAGTAGATCCAGATCTTGGAATAAATATCAACCTTGTAATGTTCAAAGTAGATTGAATTGTTGTTGTTCAAGCGTGTTTGTTTTCGCCGCTTCGAATGAACTGCAAAGTAACAGCAGCGGGCTGTGGACAGATCGAAGTAGCTTCATGTCATAGCATCTAGATCGCTGACTGTTTGAACGAGCTTCACCTCGAGTTCATCGAAGAGAGAAGAGTCACAGTTCGCCTTCGCATCGATCTCTGTTGATCGAAGCAGTAATTCTTGCCGTAACTTGTTCGTGTAGTTTAGAAGCGGTAAAGCCCTCGAAAGTCGATAAATGAGCGCCCTTCAGCAAGCYCAGTAGCGTGTACAACAATGCAGAACAAAGACTGAAGTCCAGAACAGTCGTGCGATCGAAGAAAAGTCCTTGTTTTGAAGAATAAAGAGCTCCAAATAGAGCTTTGTTATTGCTGGCTCGAACTACTGAGCGCTAAAAATAGTACAGCCAGACACCGCTAATCGGTTTGGCGCGACAAACCCAACTCACTGCCTTTTAGATATTCTTGGTTTTCATGTGACGTCATACACCTATCAAATGTTATCGTCCGCCATGTTGGTGTCGCACGAGCTAATTAGCATATGTCATATAACAGAGAGATGCATGTGTTTTGAAGCGGAGAATATAAATGTCGCGTGATTTTATTGAAAATACAGAAGATAAAAGTCACG